TTTTTTTTTTTTTTTTTTGCAGAAATGTACATTTTAACCCACCCTCTTCTCATCCTCCATCTACAATTACTCGACGAAATTTGCTTTTTAATATCTATGAATTCTTCTCCACTGATCCTAACGCGTCACTGTATCCCAACACGCAAATAGACTTTATAGAGCAGCGGCGCTATTTTAACGTGTCAATCAGCAATCAGCACCAATCAGCACCGAGAGACAGGCGTAGTAAATAACAGTATAACAGATCCAGCGTGGCTTACTATCACTGTGCGCCGGTGCCACGCACCCATCTGGAAAAAAGACGCGGGTGGGAGGAGGAGGAGGAGGAGAAGGAGGGCTTTGCGCATCGTCGGTGCCAATAGGCGCAGCGCTATCTAATTAAACCCCTACCACGTAATCCCGGCCACACTGTCCCCAACCCCCCCTCAGTTTAAATCCACTCCGACGGCGCACATCACTCCAACCAACAGTGCAGCTGTCCTCCACGTCCCGCTCCTCCGCGCTGCTGTCCCGGTCTCTGCCTCTGGAGGAGAGCGAGCGCCCCAGCAGCTACAGCAGCACCATCACGGCTGCATGCACGGTAACATGCTCTGCAGGCTTCGGCTGCTGTAGCTCCACAGACATATATACACCCTATATAGCTACTGGGACGTGTGTTGCAGTACGTGTGTGAGTGTGTGAGCGATAAGGAGATCTGGTTTTTATTATTCGGTCCCGGAGGAAAGCGTCCGGTGCGAGCCGAGCATCCCTCCACGCAGCAGGGGAGACCCTCCCGCTCCAGAGCCCCGTCGCTACAACCGGTAAGGAAAAGCGCTCAACATTAATCTATACCGTTTTTGCAATAGTAATAACACCGGTTACCGGGATAGAAGGAGATCGGAGAGTGGAAACGGAGACGCTTTTGTTTACCCGCGGAGGGGGGCAGAAATGTGCGTCCCCGGGCTGCGTAAGGGCAGAAAGAAGAAGAAAGAAAAAAAAAATAGGGGGGATAGAAAAAAAAAAAAAAACAGTCCCGTACTGCCTCTCTGGGTCATCTCACCATATTAAAACACGTGCTTTGTGTTTCAGTGCGGCTTAGTGTTAAATGCGGACAACTCCTTTATTTGGCAGAGCCAATAACATGGGAGCAGAGTGGGCCTGCAGTTTTTATGAATGATCTGAACATGGGACAAGATGCTGCGGATCGGCCACCTTTCTCCACTAGAGCTGCATTCTACTTACTCTTAATAGAGATAAATAGATAGCATGAGTTTGTTGCAAACTAAAAAATATATATATTCTCTGCCAGTTCAAATATCTATATGGTTATATACAGGGCCGGATTTAAAAGGATGAGGGCCACTGGGCTAGAGCCAGTTTTGGTGCCCTATTCTATAAAGATAATATTATATATATATATATATATATATATATATATATA